GAGAGGGGCAGGCACTTGCCTGTGATCACACGGTGGGTTAACAACCAGGTTTCCGCCCGGCTGGCATGGCTCAGTGGTTGAGCATCGACTTTTGATATGAACCAGGAGCTCGCGGTTTGATTCCCGGTCAGGGCACGTGCACGGCTTGCGGGTTTGATCCCTAGTGAGGGGTGGCAGGAGGCAGCTGATCAATGATTCTTTCTCATCATTGATGTTTCTATCTTTCCCTCTCCCTTCCTCTCTGAAATAAAAAAATAAAAGAAACCAGGTTTCCTGGTGACCGCTGTTAATCCCATTTTACAGATGAGTAAATTGAGATTTGGAGATTTAGTCACTTGCCCAAATCTACACAGTGAGTCCATAGTTAGAGTCAGAACCAAAGTTCGAATGCACTGATTTGCAATCCACTGTTTGAAACAACAACAAAACAGCTGCCTTCATGGGCTGAGCGCCCACTTTGTGCCAGGCACTGCTAAACACTTCCCACAGGTTGGCCAGGATGGAAGCTCGGGCAGGACCCAAACAGCTCATCCTGCCCCTTTAAATTACATGCTTCTCGTCGTTGACATAACCACCCCCTCCTTGCTTAGGTGCCTTGGCCGGGGGTTGTTTTGTTGTTGGCCAGCTGTGTTGTCATCTCCTCTATCCCCCTGACACTCTCCTCCCACAGTATTATTTGCCATAAAAACAATAATATAATGTCAGTAGAAGGCATTTTTAAAAATCGCTCTGAATCTCAGCATCCTAGCCCAACAGCTGTTTTAGTTTTTCTGTCTTCTTCAAATCTCTGCCCATATGTCTACAGTACACATTTTTACACCCTTGTCATTGGGATGTAGAAAGCATTTGTATTCTGCTTCCTTTGCTTGAGGTTGTTACATGGGTTATGTTGTTTATAATTATGTTTATTGGCTGCAGAACTCTGTTGAGTGTCTCCATATTGCTGGACTATTTGTTTCTAGATTCCTATATAAATAATACTACATTGAAACAGTGCTTAGCGCACTTTATTTCCTTCCCCAGTTTTCTTTAGGATAAATAGACAGGAGTGGTCTAAGAAAGGGCTTTGGCATATATTGCTTTATTTAAAATTTTTTTAAAAAAATATATTTTATTGATTTTTTACAGAGAGGAAGGGAGAGAGATAGAGAGCCAGAAACATCGATGAGAGAGAAACATTGATCAGCTGCCTCCTGCACATCTCCCACTGGGGATGTGCCCGCAACCCAGGTACATGCCCTTGACCGGAATCGAACCTGGGACCTTTCAGTCCGCAGGCCGACGCTCTATCCACTGAGCCAAACCGGTTTCGGCTTTTTTTTAATTAAAAAAAATATTTTTATTGATTTCAGAGAAGAAGGGAGAGGGAGAGAGAGATAGAAACATCAATGATGAGAGAGGATCATTGACCGGCTGCTTCCTGCGCACCCCACACTGGAGATCGAGCCCATAACCCAGGCATGTGCCCTGACTGGGAATTGAACCATGACCTCCTGGTTCATAGGTCGATGCTCAACCACTGAGCCATGATGGCCAGGCGACATATATCGCTTTAAAAAATGGTCCTAATTTATACTGCTATCAGTATCTCACCTTAGTGCACACATATTAGTTCATGAATATGGGCTGGGCAGTTTGACCCATCTTACGTAATTCTCACACTTGCTCTTCAAAAAGTACGTGTTATCTCCATTTTTTTCCAGTCAAGGACCACACGTCCAAAGAGTTGAGTCACTTGCCTGAAGCTACAGAACTAAGAAGGGGTAGATGTAGGATTTGGAGTTTGGAGCACCCTACCCTACTTCAGAGTCCCTTCCACCAGAAACAGCTGAATGGCTCAGGGTTATTGTATCCTCATTAGCATTATTAAAATAAACACACTTGGACTAATTTAACAGATGTTAACCGTTAGCCTCGTTGTTTTAATGTGCATTTTGACCCTTGATCTCCGAGTGGCCTGTAGCCCTGTGGAATTTAGAGGGATGGGGCTTTGAGGGCCCCATGTTCTGTTTTGCCAACGTGTGCTGGCAGCTGAAGAGAGTGTGTCTGGGTGCCAGATGGTTTTTGGAAACACAGAGAGACTCATGAATTCACACCCCTCAATCAACATATCAGTCTCTAGTCAACAAACTATTTGAGCCTCTGGATCTGCCCAGATTTGGTCAGGGTGGGGGGTGAAGAGAAAAGTGAGCTTTCTTTTCAAAGACCCCTCAGTCTAGCGAGGTGGGGGAAGGCTAACACAGCTGGTGGAGAATGAGATGCCCCAGTGGGAGGGTGGACGTTTCATCCTCCCAGTTAGAGGTTGCTATTTTGTGCCCTGCAAAGCGGTCGTAAAGAACCTGAGCAGGTCGCCAGTGCTTAAAAATCTGGAGGTTTCACATACAAATCTAAATTTCTGGCTTCTCTTTAAAAAAATGAGGATCTGGCAACCCTGAGCCTGTGGGCCTGCCTGGCAACATCGCCTGGAGCTGGGCGGCAGCTGCCCTTTTTGGATGGGATGCTTATTGCCCCGTTTGTCATAGTCCCTGCCCAGACTGTGTCACCAGTTTACACTGAGCGTCCCATGCCCTTCTCTGAATCTGCAGGAGGGCAAAGGCAGCAGGGAGGATGGAAAGGAATGTGGGGCAGGTGCTCCCGGGGGTAGGGATGGTGTGAGTAGAGCGGCAGGGACCGAGACCTGCTCTCATTAGTGCCAATAAGCAGCGGTCCGTTGGCTCCCATAGCCGCCTTGGGACAGTACACATGGGACAGCCAGGACCAGAGCCAGAAAGTCAGGGAATACAGCTACGACCTCTGAACAAGAGAGCAGAGTGAGTATACACAGAGTCCGCCCCCTCCACCCCAGACACGTAAGAATGATGGGTTAAAACAAAGCCACATAGAAAAACATTAGGAAAATCTATGTGGGCCAGGAACGGGGAAGAAAATTTAAGTTCAGGACGTAGGCTCTCAGCCAGCAGCCCGCAGGTTGCAGCGAGCAGTGGGAGCCAGCCCTTTCATGTCCTTGACGGATGGGGATAGGGTCTGCCATGCTTGTGGGGAGAAGGGAACCAGACTGTAAGAAGCCAAGGGGTGGGCCTTGCTCCTCGCAGGTGCTGAACTATCTCTTTGGAGGCCAGATCTAGGACTGCAGACACGCAGTTTGCCTGTGGCTCAAGGAAGAAAGGAGAGCGCCGGGGTGGAAACAGAAAGTTGTATTGTGCTGTACTTGGGGCCAGCCTCTAACGCTGGACTACCCACGTGTCTGAGTAAAGAGCAACCTGGGGTGATGCTTCCCTTTGCATCTTCTTTGTAAAGTGCATCCTGAGCACATTACTCATGTAACAAATGATGACAGGGACACACTGAATCCTCGTAGGAGGCCAAGCAGCAGTACCCTCACCTGTTCCTTAAGGTGTGTCCTGAGGTCCTCTAACTGGGGACACCTTGCAGGTACTCAGAGAACTTGAAGGTATTGAAACTACATTTCACAGAATCAGGGTGCAAGAGAGAAAAGGATCCTGACAAGTGATCTTGGCCTCTTTGCTCATTTTACAGGCGAGGAAATCGAGGCCCAGAGATTTGCCTGAGGTCATGCAGCTGGTTAATGCCAATGCAGGACGGGGGGCTGAGCCCCTGGGGTCCATCCTGGCTTCCCTTCAGAAGCCTCAGTTGTTGCCTTTTATTTTTAAGATTTTAAAATAGATTTTTAGAGAGACAGGAAGGGAGAGGGAGAGAGAGAGAGAGAGAAAAACATTGATGTGCGAGCAGAACATCGATTGGCTGCCTCCTGCACAACCCCCATCAGGGATTGAGCCCACAACCTGGCATGTGCCTGACTGGGAAGTGAACCAGCAACCCTTCGCTGCATGGGACAACGCTCACCCAACTGAGCCACGCCAGCCAGGGCGAGACCTCAGTACTTTAATTTATAAAATGGGGACAACTTTCGGGCCCCACAGAATCATCAAGAAGCTGTAACATGTTCCTTTCTCTTGTTTGGGTAGCTGTCTCTCCTGAGGTAATTTTTTTTTTTTTTTGGACAGTGAATTCCTAAAAGGGAGGCTGGGTAGTGGTTTAAGATAGTGGATTCTGGAGCCAGCCTGTCCTGGTGTAGATCTCAGCTTTACCCCTTACTGTCTATGTAACTGTGGGAAAGTCACTTAATCTCTCTGTGCCTCCATTTCCACGTCTTTAGGACAGGGCTAATAATAGCACCTGCCTATTGGATTATAGTGAGGATTAAATGAAATAAAGCATTTTAAAGGCTCTCAAACAACGACTGGCATATACAAAGCCCCCAGTAAATGTCAACTGCTATTACTTTATTATCCTTACATAACATTATATTTCCCTTTTTGCTTTGGCAGCCAGGGAACTCACCACCCAATTTGAATCTTATATTTAGGATTCCCCCCTTCCCCCGCTAGGACTTAATGGCATGCATTTCTGTTTCCCTAACATTCTCTGGCATTATTTAACTGTTTGGCTCTCCTTTCCTTTATCATCCTGATTTCTAAATATTATTGTATCATATATTTCAGAACAACTTTGGACTTAATCACCTAAGAAAAATACAGCAATAGGTTGATTCAGACTGGCCTGAGGTGGTCCAGGAAATAGGAGGTGAACTGTGTTATTAAAACAAAAGTATAGCTAATAGTTTGTAGGGCCTGTTGTGTATCGGCTTTTGTTGCATGTACTTGGCATGCATTACCTTAAACTTCACAACCATTCTGTGAGGTAGGGCTTATTATTATCTCATTTTGAAGCTGAGGAAACCAAGGCTCATCGAGGTGGAGCGTCTCAGCCAGTGGTTGCGGCTGCAAGAGGCAGAGCCAGGATTCGGATGTGGCCCCACCTGACTCCAGAACATACACTCTTACTTCTAGGGGGTCCCTTGAGCTCTTGGGGACACAGGAGGGATGATTTCAGTCAGCTGACTGAGATGTTTTCTCTCTGATTAATCTTCCTCTTCTCTCCCCCTTTCCTCTGCCTTCTCTGTTTTCCGGGTGTTCCAGAGCCCATGAGGGCCCCCAAAGGCCTGGCTTTCGCTGAGATCCAGGCCCGCCAGCTGACGCTGCAGTGGGAACCACTGGGCTACAATGTGACGCGGTGCCACACCTACACCGTGTCCCTGTGCTATCACTACATCCTGGGCAGCAGCCACAACCAGACGGTGCGGGAGTGTGTGAAGATGGAGCGGGGTGTCAGCCGCTACACCATCAAGAACCTGCTGCCCTACCGGAACGTTCACGTGCGCCTCGTGCTCACCAACCCCGAGGGGCGCAAAGAAGGCAAGGAGGTCACCTTCCAGACAGACGAGGACGGTAAGATCCCCAGCCCTGATTCCCGGGCCTTCCGTGCCTCCTACAGACACCCCCTGTCTGAGACTGAAATGCATATAGGAAATTTTTTTGCTTAGGATTAAACCAACTCTATAACAACAAAGTCATGAGAGCTAATATTTATTCTCTGGAAGCCTTTGGGTTAATTGGTATAATTTCTTCCTTAAATGTTTGGAAGAATTCAGCAGTGAAGCCATTGGAGCTTTCTTTGTGGCAGTGTTTTTACATAACAGTTTTTTGTTTTTTGTTAATCCTCACCCGAGGATATTTTTCCACTGATTTTTTTAGAGAGAGTGGAAGGGAGGGGAAGAGACAGACAGAAACATGGATGTGAGAGAGACACATTGATTGGTTGCTTCCTGCACCGGCCCCAACCAGGGCAGGGGACTGAGCCTGCAACTGAGGTACGTGCTCTTGACCAGAATCGAGCCTCGGACCCTTCAGTCCATGGGCAGATGCTCTATCCACTGAGCCATACTGGCCAGGGCAACAGTTTTAATTTTAAAAATAGATTTTGGGATATTCAGATTTTTTTAAATATTAGTTTTGGTGTACTGTGTTTTAAGGTATTTGTTCATTTTACATTTTACCTAAATTGTCAAATTTCTTGTTATAAGTTGATTATAATAGTCTCTTATTACATTTATTTAATGTCCATAGGGTCTATGTGATATCCCCCTTTTCATTCCTGGTATTGGTAATCCGTGTCTTCCCTCTTAGGAGGTGAACTGTGTTATTAAAACAAACTCATACCTAATATTTTGTAGGGCCTGTTTCCTATTAGCTGTTGTCTCACGTACTGTGCACACATTATCTTACATTTCACAACCATCCTAGGAGGAAGGTCTATTATTATTTCATTTTGAAGCTGAGGACACTAAGGCTCAGAGAGGTGAATCGACTCAGCCAGTGTTTCCAGCAAATGTAGAGAAGGAAAAAGTGAACTTTTTTTTCCCTTCCCACTGTTGGCTGGGGCCCTATAAATTGGACTGAGAAAAGACAGACTAACAAGGGAAAACGAGTTTATTACCATGTGCCTTGCACATACATGTGGGAGTGAGTGCTCAGTGATGAGTAATTCAAAGGGGTGGTTAGAACTTGGGCTTATATGGCATCTTAACAAAAGAACAATGAATTTTTAGAGAAGTGACAAGACAAAGGAAAAGGACCTTTTTAGGACCAGCAAATTATGCGAAGGCAAAAATATGGGGAAACTAGATAAGGGCTAGTTAGTAAAGTTTGTATAGATTCTTCTAGTCTAGAGTTGTCTCAATGATTAACTTCGTTCCTTCTGGGTAGAGAGGGAGGGGGGCACCTTTACAAATTTATGTCCTTCTTTTAGGCAAATAGGGGAGGGCAGGGAACTTTTCTTGTATAGTCCTTACTTAACATCGTTGATAAGTTCTTGGAAACTGTGACTTTAAGTGAAACAACCTATAACACAACCAGTTTTACCAGAGGCTTAATTGATATAAACAAAGTTTAAGTTCCTATGGCGTATTTCTGGTTAATGACCCCAAACACTTCTAATATTAAACATTCAAATAAATGTAAGCTATACATACGTTTTAAAAAGATGATTAAAGCCCTGACTGGTTTGGCTCAGTGGATAGAGCATCGGCCTGCAGACTGAAGGGTCCCGGGTTCGATTCCGGTCAAGGGCATGTACCTTGGTTGCGGGCACATCCCCAGTGGGAGGTGTGCAGGAGGCAGCTGATCGATGTTTCTCTCCCATCGATGTTTCTAACTCTCTATCCCTCTCCCTTCCTCTCTGTAAAAAATCAATAAAATATATTAAAAAAAAATAAAATAAAAAGATGATTAAAAACAAGTAAGATAATTGTTTTTTCAACCCACTTATTACAGTTCAGGGTCGAGGGAGCTGGAACTCATGGCCCAAGGCAAGACCCCACCCTGGACAGGACGCTCTTCCATCTTAGGGCACATCACATGCACTCACTGGGACCATTGAGACACAGCACTCACCTCACACACATAGCTTGGGGACATGGGGAGACACTGGAATACCCAGAGAAAACCCACACAGACATGGGGAGAACAAACTCCACAAAGACAGTGGCCCCGGCCAGGAATTGATCATTTTTTTTTTTTCTGATCAGCATTATAATGAACAATGTTGAATGAAAGGACTTTATTCAAGGACCTGCTGTATCTGTTTTTCCTCAATTCCCCTCTCAATTCAGCTCCAAATAATCCTTATGCCAAAGTGGCATATTTTGAGGTGACATACTCAGCTACCCTGAACAAATAACCTCAAGTTCAACATCAGATTACTCTGTTCTTAAAATCTTTTGACCTCTGCTCTTCTCCCCCCAAGGTATATTGTGGTTTCACCCCATTCTGACCAGGCCTCACTTGGACTGCTTGGCCTTCTTCCTTTTTTCTCTGCCCCTCTCCTTTCCCTCCCTCCAGTAACTGCTCGTTATTTAACATTTTATGCTTTTCATGTAAGTATTACTATAATACTTACAGAACGTACGCTTCTATCAAGTGGTCAGCTCAGTGAATTCTCACAGACGGCACACATCAGGATAACCCACACCCAGACCAAGAGATAGCATCACCGGTTCCTGGGAGCTCCTCCCACTCACAACCTCCCAAGAGTCACCATCATCCTGACCTGTAATGCCATAGATTAAATTCTGCTTGGCTCTGAATTTCCTATCAGTGGAAGCATACAGTGTGTAATCTTTTCATACACTGTAAAAAGGCTGGCTTCTTTCTCTCAACCTTTGGCTTGAGAGATTCAGCCATGTTGCGTGTACAGTTCTATAGAATTTATTCTCATTGCTAAATAGACCATTATGTGAAGATACCACATTTATTTATCCTGTTTACTCTTGTTGGGCATTTCAGTTGTGTCCAGTGTTCAGCTATTTTAAATTGTGCTGTAAAGAAAAATCCTTGTAGATTTTTTTGGGAGTAGATTTACACATTTCTGATGGGTGTGTCCATCATAGGTGGCTAGATCCAGTTTCCCCAAGTGGTTGCATCAGTATATACTCCCACTAGCAGTTGTGTGAAAATTCCCGTTGCTCTGCCTCCTCACCAACACTTGGAATTGTCTTTTGCCTTGTATCATTTTGGCGGGTGGGGGGTGGTGTTGCCTTGGCAACTGCGCATTTTCACACAGAGCACTTTGGCTTTCATTGATGGTTGCCTTGGTTTCTGCTTTCCCCTGCCCTAGGAGCTCAGCTTCCCCATAGTGGTTTATTAAGGTGTTTTTCCAAACAGACCATCTCTTCCTAGAAGAAATTCCTGTGACTGCTGTTAAGATGATACATGTGAACAAGAGCAGACAAAACCAAACCAAACCATGCCCAAAAGGGTTTATGCTGAAATGTTAACAGTATTATTCTTTGGGTAATGGAATTGTAGGTGCCATTAATTTTCCTCATGCTCATTTTGATTTTCTACATTGAACATATTGTTTGTGTAATTAGAAATTTTTAGACAGGAATATATCTCTATCCATAATTCCGCCACTAATGCAGTTGTTTTCATTTCCCTGGCAAATGTTTATATTTTCTGAAAACCACTTAACTGGGTCCAAATAGGACCATTCAAACATTCTTCTCAGCTGAATGCAACCTGCACAGTAATGAAAACACCAGCTACCCTTTCTGAGTCCTCAGGAATAGGTTGGACCGTAGGAAACTGCTGTAAGTATATCGCATCACTGAGTTTTGGCGAGAGAGGAGTTATCATCACTCCATTTCACTGATGAGGAAACTGAGGGCTCAGGGAGGTCGAGTAATGCGAGCGTACCAGTTAGGAAACGGCAAGGCTGGAATGTGAATCCAGGTACCTGGCTACGCAGCCAGCTTCCCCCTGCCCATGCCGCCTTTCCCTCGCAGTGCCTGGTGGGATTGCGGCCGAGTCCCTGACCTTCACTCCACTGGAGGACATGATCTTCCTCAAGTGGGAGGAGCCGCAGGAACCCAATGGCCTCATCACTCAGTATGAGGTGGGTTTGGACCCCATGATAGCGAGGGCCCCTGGTGGAAGGCGGGCACGCAGCTTGGAGAGGGAGGTGCAGGGTGGGCGGACAGAAGTGATCATTGAGGTTCCTTCAGCTATGATCAGAGTCTGTGGGTTACAGGGACACGGGACCGGAAGGTAGGAGAGAGAGGTGAAGGTGCCCAGCAGCCTGGGCTAGGGGGCGTGCACAGTCCCACTGAGCGTCTCCCTTGGCCCAGCCTTATCCCGAGCTCACCTGAACCATGATGGGTGGGAGGCTACGGGGCCAATGATGCCCTCCCTATTCCTGTGTCTGCCTACGTGCCCATCCTGCCCCAGATCAGTTACCAGAGCATCGAGTCATCAGACCCGGTGGTGAACGTGCCAGGCCCACGACGTACCATCTCCAAGCTCCGCAATGAAACCTACCACGTCTTCTCCAACCTGCACCCAGGCACCACCTACCTCTTCTCCGTGCGAGCCCGCACGGGCAAAGGCTTCGGTCAGGCGGCACTGACGGAGATCACCACCAACATCTCAGGTAAGCTCGGGACCCTGGCCTGGCCCCTTTGGAGGAGACTCAGAATTCTGGGGTTCCGTGGGCACTGGCGGGGTGTGGGGGACCTCCTGGGGGTGGTTATAGTGGGCTCCTGGCTGAGAGAAAGGAACCATTTAGGGTTTGAGGTCAGGGAGAGTTAAGTCAGAGGGCTCAGGAGACTGTGGTTAGTGGGATGAGAGGGCTGAGGTCAGGGGTCAGGGAAGCTCAAGTGAGAGAGAACAAGGAGCCTAAGTCTGAAGGGGAAGAGATCTAGGGACAGGGGTCCAGGAAGGTGGTGCTTACGCTCCTGTCCCCTTCCCCAGCTCCCAGCTTTGATTATGCTGACATGCCGTCGCCCCTGGGGGAGTCTGAGAACACCATCACCGTGCTGCTGAGGCCTGCCCAGGGCCGCGGTGCGCCCATCAGGTGGGAGAGCCCGGATGGAGGGGCGGGAGGTCAGGGCCATAGGGAAGAGGCCCCTGCTCTGACCCAGAGCCCCCACGCAGGCCAGCTCACCCTTGTCCTCCCTCAGTTTCCCACTCCGAGTTCAGCGCGTCCGGAAGAGGATGTTCTGTGATCATGGGCAGGCAGAATGCCTGTAGCCACGCCCCTCTGAGGCCATGGGTGTCTGGCGGTGATTGTCATGAGCTCTCTGGTCAGTGTCCAGCCTGGAGAGGTGACTGTCCAGGCTTCTCTAGAGGCCTTCCCTCAGACACCTTGGAGAAGAGAACTCTGGGGCCTTTTTTCTTCTCAGCTTATTTCCTGGAGGGTTCTTCCCAGGGAGACACAGGGATGGGCTTTCTAGAAGGCTGGGCAGCCAGCTGGATAGCGCCATCTTTCTGGAGTGGCCGAGAACTTGGCTTCTCCATTTCCTTCTCCCCAGAAGAAGCTGGGCTGCTGGTCCCATGGTGGCTGCCTTTGCTGGGGAGAAGGTGCTGGCAACAAGTAGGTGTGTGAGAGAAAGACATGTGATGTGTGTAGGCGATGCATGGTTGTGGGTGTGGGAGTGTGTGTGTAGGTGAGAGCATGAGGGTGTTTGTGGGGTTATGTGCACATACTCACTGCCAGCCAGACACCATGCTAGGGACTTTACCTGCACGGACGTATATCCTCATGGCATCCTGTGGAGGAGTACTAGTTCCCTTATTTTACGCATCAGGAGACAGGCTCAGAGCCTAAAGAACTTGCCCCCAAGGCCACACAGCTGGTGAGAGGTAGAGCTGGGGTTCTCTCCCAGGTCTGCCTGCAAAGCCAGTACTGTTCCTTGAAGTCACAGAGCCTCCCGGCCCCTCTGGTCCACCCCCTCCTTCCACGAAGGTCTGTGCACTGGGAGAGGGTGACAGCTTGTATTCGGGCAGGGGAGGGGCATGGCAAGCCCTGTCAAGAAGGTAGTGAGTTGCTCAGGTACCCGTGACACCCACTTTTTCACTCTACCCTCCACTCTTTTCTCCTGCGTTGCCTCCCCCATATTTGCCACTGCAAAGCCTGTCAGAGGTGGATTCCCAGACCTTCAGGGGAGACCCAGAAAAGTGTCAGGGCATCTGAGGGGCGTTTTGCCTTTTACAGGAGTCTCAGGGCCCTGATGCACCCGAGTCTCGGAGGAATTGGGAAGCCTTCTCCTTTCCTTGTCCGTGGAGGGTTCCTGTGAGCCTGCCTGCTCAGCATCCCTCTGGGATGACGATGAAGAGGCTGGGCAGAGTGGGGGAGGGGGATAGAGAAGGGAGAGGTACGACGGCTGTGCAACCTTGGGTAGGTCCCTTCACCTCTCTGAGCTCCCTTTCCTGATCTGCATAATGGCTAATGCTGATTATCATCATCTCCTGGTGGGACTCAGGGCCAGGCGAGGCCTGAATTCAGCCTGGCAATTGGAGGCAGAGAGGGGCCTGGGTTGGTATTTGCAACGCACTAGTGACAGGGAATGACCCTGTGTGGCCCAAATCTCAGGATGTTGGGGTGATTCCCCCACAACTTGGAAGCTCAAAAGAAACAGCTGGAGAGCAAGGCAAAGGCATTTCTACTTCCCAGAGCGCAGGCTGTCAGTGTGGGGTGTCACAGGCCAAGACGTGATCAAGGCTGTGACTGGAAATTTTTAAATTTGTCAGTATTCATTTAGTTACTCTTGGCTTTGTTCCACAGAGGATTTGGAGGAGCTCACAGCAAAAGGCCATTCAGTAAAGTGATATAAATAAAAAGAAATACACAAGTCGGGACCAGGAGACACAGATCAGAGGGAATACAGACCAGGGAACATTATCAGCCATTAGGACCGTGAGACGTCCGGCTCAGAGCTATAAACTCCGGCGGCCTCTGGTTGGGAGGGTATTTGGGGTGTAGGGTTAGTGTGTCCTTGTTTGCTTGCTCAGTGACAGTCTCCCCAACAGGAAGTCACTTCCAGGAAGACTAGATCCCCAGGTGCCTAGCACAGGGCCCATTGTCTGAGCTCAGTAAACATCTTCTGAATGAATGAATGAATGAATGAAGGCATCTAGTCTAACTCTGGTTTAAGAGGCTCAGAAGGGAGCCCATGCGGATGCCTGTGGAGACTGAGGCTATAGTTTCCGGTTTTCCCCGACCCGTGGCAGGCTCTGGAGGACACTTTGAGGAGTCTGAGCAGGGCCCACATTCAGCCTTCAATCAATTACAGTAATAACAGCTGATAGGCATTGGCTGCTTGCTAAACGTGCCTCCTTCCTCCTTACACCTTCCTCCTGGAACAGGCCTGTGATAACTCCCATTCTACAGAGGATGGAACTGAGGCGGGGCGGGGGTTAAATGACTTGCCCAGCTAGTAAGAGGCAGAGCCGAGATTAGCCCCAAGCGGGGCCGGACCCCAAAGCCCATGCCATCAGCCCCAGATAGCTCCCCCTGACCTGGCCCGCTCTCCCCCTCCCTCCAGTGTGTACCAGGTGATCGTGCAGGAGGAGCGGCCGCGGAGGCTGCGGCGGGAGCCAGGCGGCCAGGACTGCT